CAGCCCATATTCAGCTTCAGCATATGACAAATATTACTTTTATGAGTCCTGAAGAAGATCTTTCAGTGCAATATCCAGACACAACTTGCTTACTAAGAGAATGTTTATGTGTCTGTTCTGCAATACACACAAATGAGGAGTAAAATAAGACAAATGAAAGATTAGAAGTTCTGTGTATAATATTAGAAAGCTAAGTCATAAATCCAAAATAAACAAACTGTGGAATCTCTATTTTCCTAATAATAACTGGAATCTAAAAGCAAATTTCAAGCAGTTAAAGAGCGAGTGATAAGCATGGTTGATTATGAGCAGAATAATAATACAATTGAGGACCATATATAATCTATAACAATGTGAATGAATTTATTAGAAGAACAAAGCTGTGGAGGTGGTATTATTTGTATTATTCACAGGAGAGAATATATTGTGCTCTCTGGCTGCCACTGTTCTCTATTCGGAACTCCGATTTCCTCTGAAAGACCAGTAAATCTTCACAGGTTCTGATTGGTCCATGGGCGATGGTAGCATTTGTGCAAGAATAGTTTACTTACTACAAAATATTTCTAGTATTTATTTGAAAATGTTGTTAATTTTAATTTAAAATTAGTCTTAGTCTTAAAAAAAATATATGCTTGTGCAATGGGGGTGTATTATTTAGAATAATAATATATGGATTTTGCTATATTTTGTCATATTGATGATGGGTTTTTTTTTGTAAATAGTTTTGCCGTAGTCATCATTATAGTCATCAGTGTTTTCTTAGTTGGAAGTTGGACCTTGTTTATTTACATTAACTTCTCTCAGTCAGTGTAACAGAAAATGTTTCAAACCTCTTAGTCCGAGCATAAGTTAACTTTTATTTTGAAATTATTGGACAGAAATAATAAAATATTTTAAAAACTGAATAGAAAGGCTATGGTTGCAATAGGATTGTGGGTGTTCTTTCACTCTTAGAAGAATATATTCGGTAACACTTTAGAATACCGTTCCGTCATTATTGAATAACTACACAGAAACAAATGAGTAACGCATTATTAACATTCTAGTAACTACTATTAACTAACAAGCTACTCTGATACTAGAGTCCACAAAAAGTTAATAAAGAGTTATCATGATTGTAAACCTGTATATAGGTCTTAGTAGTCCTTTTGGAGGTATGAAAAAAATAGTAGTTAATGATTAGATAAAAGTGATACCTCATTCAACTGAGTGCTATTACTTACTAATTAGTTCAGAGTAGAATGTTACTATTGTGTTACTCAATTGTTCCTGTGTAGATATTCATTAACGACGGAACAGTATTCTAAAGTGTTACCAATTAGTTTTAAATTAATTTTGTTTTAATTTATCACTAGAAAAAATTAAAAAGGTACATTGAACATAAAAGTATTATGCAATCATTTAAAGGGGTCATATAATGGTACATACACTTTTTCAAGTTGATTGTACTGAAATGTGTGTTGGCAGTGCCTGTACACACCCATCCTATAATGATAAAAATCCATCCAGTGTTTTTGTTTTAATCTCCTTATATGTTTTTCCCTGCCTCAAATCGAGCCGGACGCCCCACCCACGATTGTTGATTGACAGCAGTGTTTCAACACACCCCCGCCAAAGAACGTATATTCCTCGCCCTGAGCGAGCTGTCATCATAATCCGCCACTGTTGATATGCTGGAGCAGAATGGCGTCTAAGCGATCGTGGTGTTCAGTTCTTGGGTGTAATAACGAACACAGTCATTTTGATGTTCCTAAATCCGAACCGCTGAAGACGCAGTGGCTGAGTTTTGTTTTCGAAGGGAATATTCCACACGATCAACGTCAATGCTTTCATGTTTGCGTGATTCGCGAATCTTTTCTCACCAGACTGCTTTTTAAACGAGGGTCAGTATAAAGCTGGTTTTGCTAAGAAGCTGCTCATGAAAAAAGAATCGGTACCAACTATTCATGTCCCTGTTGCACCTCCAGAAGAAGTGAGTGTAAAGTTTTATTAACCTTTATGTTAATCTTTGCAAATCGCTTGCGCGCTTCACGATGAATGCGGCTAAGGTTTACACTCAGGGTACACTACAGCATGTTTTCTATGTACGACGTTCTCAATATAATTCATAATCCCACGTTTATAATGAACAACGCGTTATGGTTATTGTGTTATTACAAACTGAGTACGTATACATCAGTAAACACATAGCGTTCGTACATCTCACCAAGTTACTCTAACGTTACCCTGCCAGTACATACAAAGATAGATCAAAGTGACATTACGTTAACCAACCATTCAGAAACGTCCTGTTCGAGCCTTAATTGTCGAACTTCTTTGCGGCCGTCATCTTGTTCCAGGTCCGACTCCGCTTCAAACTGATACGGTTGCACAGATGTGTCCTCAGAGAGTCCCGCTGCCATTCTCTCTCCAAAATATACCCTCAACTGTTGTCAAGGCAACACTCCACGTGCGTTGTGTCAAAACGCCCGCAGTAAAGAGGGGCGGAGTGAGCGAAGCTCATTATCATTTAAAGGCATATGCACTGAAACGGCGTGCTGAAAACAGAGCTGTTTTTGACCAGGTAAAATGAGTGTTTTCTTACAATACAAATGAGAATTTTTAATTAAAGTATATTAGAAACTTTTCATTTAGACCCTAAAGAATCAAATTAACTTGTATGAAAATAGCATTATACTGTATGACCCCTTTAAGACATTTCTCCTTATATAGAACCTTTTTGGCATAAAGGTTCTTTCAAATTGAGTCAAGAACCCCGGGGTTCTATATAGAACCCCATTGAACCTTTTTTTGAGTGTATAATCTTCTTGCAGGTACAACTCACTGCTCCCACTGTAATTGTAAAAAAAACTGTAAGCGTTAGAGTGAATTTATTGATTTCACACTAAATATGTGTATAGTGCATATTAAAGTACTTTCAAGGCTGGATAATTTCTTTGCTCCGCATCATTTCATCTCAGCTGTAATAAGGCACTTGACATGTGATTAGCACAGCACATTGTCTCTGTCTTTCTTTCTCTTGTACTGTTCTTGTACAGTTGCCTTTCTTCTGTATTGCGCAGGTCACTGTCGACCTTGTCAAAGATTTGCATGTGTGACACCATCTCTAGTATTTGATGTGCAGTAGCAGTACATGTGACCTTGCTGTACTCGATGTTATCAGCTCACGTTTGAAAGTTGTGCCTGAACTCAACATCCTATCGACTGGTTTGGTCGATATTCAGTATATGGAATTGCATATGTAAGGGATAATGCCCAGTCAGCCAGTCCACGTGTCTTCATCTGTTCGTTTTCATCCAGCTCTTCGTCAGTTCCTTGTTGTTCTGAGCAAATAATCACTGAGTGAAAGGGTTAAAATAATGTTAGGTCTTTATCTGAGGAATGTTACTTTTTTATATAAAAATGGGGGAAATCTGGTAGTGGAATAAGTTATTAAACTAAGTGCCCCTATTATTCTATTTTAAAGGTTCTAAAAATTAACAGTTTTCACAGTGATACGAACAGTAACAATGGTATTGGTTTTATCGTATCAATTCAAGTCCTCCTTTTAAGTGCTACAAAGTGAAATTGCTTTCGCAGACAACAGCTTCTTCTCGACATGTCAACAACACAAACCAAACTCATCCAGTCGCAGCTACAACTAGTGTTTGAGGGCCGGTCAAAGTAGATTTGATTGTTTGCTGGCAGCCAATAGGCTGGCATTATGCAAATTTGTTACAAACCTAGGTATGTTCGTACTTCGTACAGGAAGTAAGACTGGAATTACTGATGACTCGTTTCAGGCAGTTAATCTGTTCTTTCTTTGGGAGACAATAACTTTATATGTCATGCACTTTGATCTTTGAAACTTTGCAGACCTTTTACATTCACAAACAGATATATATTTCACACTGCATGAAAGATAATATTTGAAAAAGCATAAAAGGGGCACTTAAAAATATACATTTTTACCTCATTGAATTCTATACAAATTGAATTTGCACAATATTGATGTAAAGTGCCATGTATTGTGCAACATACCAATTTTCTCATTCAGGTTTTCATTAAATTGACTATGTAAGATTAATTTTTGTGATAACATTTCATTCACAAGTTTATGGGAAATACGACATAGGTCTTAAAGGGGTCATATAATGCCATTTTTGTACAAGCTAATATGATTCTTTAGGGTCTAAATTAAAAGTTTGTAATATACTTTAATTAAAAATTCTCATTAGTATTGTAAGAAAACATGCCGTAATGTACCCTGAGTGTAAACTTTAGACGCATTAATTGTGAAGCGTGCAGCTAGCGATTTGCAAAGATTAATATATTAATATAAACTTTAATAAAACGTTACACTCACTTCCGTTCTTCTGGAGATTCAGCAGGAACACGAATATCTGGTCCGATCCTTTTTTCATGAGCAGCTTCTTAGCAAATCCAGCTTTATTCTGATCCTCGTTTATAAAGCAGTCTGGTGAGAAATGATTCGCGCAAACATGAGAGCATTGACGTTGCTCGTGGGGAATATTCCCTTCGCAAACAAACTCAGCCACTGTGTCTTAAGCGGTTCGGATTTAGGAACATTAAAATGACTGCTGTGTTCGTTATTACACCCAAGAACAGAACACCACAATCGCTTAGAGCCATTCTGCTCATAGACAGTGCTCCAGCATATCAACAATGACCGCGCCTGTCCGCGCGGACTATGATTGACAGCTCTCACGAGCGAGGGCGGGTCTGTGTTGAAACGCTCCTGTCAATCAACAATCGTGGGAGGGGCTTCAGAGCGTGTGACGTCACACGGTCGAACAGCTTGATTTGAGGCAGGGGAAAACATATAAGGAGATTAAAACAAAACCACTGGATGGATTTTTATCATTTTATGATGGTTTTGTACAGGCACTGCCAACACACATTTCAGTACAATCAACTTGTAAAAGTGCATGTACCATTATGACCCCTTTAAGAACATGTAATGAGATGAGACTGCATTTGTATTGTCTTTTCTTTTCCAGAGGCTGCACAGATGTGCTGTGCTGTGTGCTCTTCACCATTGTCATCCTCGGCTACATTGCACTGGGCACTGTGGGTAAGTGCTGCATCTGCTTTTACTGTAATCTTTCATTTTGTGAGATAAACAGGCTATGAGCCAGGCTAGATCATCAGAGTATCATAAGACCCACCAAGTAAGCAAATACATGCTCCACGAATCATGATAACAGGCACAATATCTAACGATTATTTCAAAAACTGTGCAGTTGTGTTGTAAATGTTAGTTGTAGTGTTGATAATGTTTTTACAAGCTTACCAAGGGCTACGTGAATACGTTTTTTTCCCATTATATTTTTCATTATATAAATTACAGTCTAAGTACCTTTTTTTACTTGTAGTTACAGTAAACTTATAAATAAAGTATAACTGTAAGTATAAAAATCTGTGTTATAACTGATAAATTAAGTATTAATTGGAAACAGAGCAGTGTTTATTTGGCACAAAAACGAGAATCTCAAATAGGTAATACTAAGCAAAGTTGAAGCAAGTCACTTGAATGGTTTTTCTGTTTTTGTTTTGTTTTCCTTTTTAAATTTCCAACACTACATTTGAGAGAGCATGTTTTGTTATACCCTCACCTGGCTATAAATACAATGTGAAATAAATAAAAAAATCTCAATGTGGCATTTCCCATGTAATGGTTGTAAAGGTCATGCCACACCACTTCTTATGGGAAAGAAATAGCTTGTTACTTAAAAAGCTACATTGTTTTGAAAACACTACTGGCATGCTAGTAAAAAGGTAATTTATGTTACCAGTTAGCATCTATCTCCCCAAATCTTAATGAAGGTAGAGCTGCTCTATAAGTGTGGTGGTTTTAATGACTTTCTCTTATCCAGTGATTAAAAAACTGATCTGCAGGGCCAGAAACCAACACGAGAACCTTTGATCAGATGAGGCGCCTTCCTCTAATTCTGAACCACTGGTTCTCAAGAGAAAAACAAGCTTTAACAAGAACCCCATAGACTGCAGATTAATCAACATCCAGCATATAAAGATGCCAAAGTGGGTGTTCGGTACATAAGAGACTGAAAAAGAGATAGAAAGAGAAGGAGAGAGAGAGCGTCTCTCTTACTGAGGAATATTTTTTGAGAATGAAGAGCAAAGTCTGTGCATTCCTTGTCAGCTCCTCTGATGTAAGATCATGCATGCATATTTTATGATGTTCAACTCCACCAGGAGCTCCTCCACAGTTCTCCCCTCCACTTCAAAGCGTGGCTAAAGTTAACGCTAATGCTAATGCTCTTCTTACTGTGGAGAAGCTGATGCAAGAAGAATTGCCACAGGGGTGGCTTTGTTCTAGATACTGTTTATTTCAAGGACAAAAAGACCTTGGGTCTGAATTCGGAAATGCCAGAATTTCGTCACATCTAATGATTTTGATCCTCATTCACATTGGCAGCTGTGATATCATCCTGGAGATTTACTGATATCAAGCACAGTACTGTACATCCAGGCCTTGGTGCTGATGGCCACACTGACACACACATGCCCTCACAGCAAATGCTGATCGTGTTTCAAGTGCATAAGAGATAAGCGAGGCAGGGGCACGGAGAGCCCTTGTTTGAAAAGTTCTCGCACATAGATGCCCGCTAGTCTCACAGCGTGAGGTTCCCGCTGGAAGAGGAAATGAGTCACTTTGAAGGGATGCTGTAGATGTAGGGCGCGGCTCCACCAGAGATGAGATAAGTACAGTGGCAAGACTTTTAAATTAGCCCATACTGTTTCTCCAAGCATTGTTTGACTGTGATACGGCTGACAAAGTTTTTTATATTGTACACAATGCAACTGAAACAAGTCCAAAAAATTGTGATGATCAGCAATTTTTTTGTTTTGTTCTGTTTTGTGTGCTTTCTTGTGTTATTTGTTTTTGTTGTTTTCTTGTTTTAATCTGTTTTGTTTTTATGTTTGTTTGTTTTTTGAGAGATACATTTTAGGATATGAAAAGTTTGAGATGACTAATAAAACTTTATTAAACAAGTCAAAAATGTAGCAATGATCAGCAGTTATTGTTTAGTTATTTGTTTTGTTCTGTTCTGTTTTTTGTGTTTCTTTTGTTGTTTTTTGTTTTGCTTTTGTAGTTGTTTTATTTTGTAAATTATTTGTGGGGTTTTTTGTTTTTGTGTTCTGAATTTGTTTTGATTCGTGTGTGGGGTTTTTTTCTGTGTTTTCTTTTGTTTTGCTTTTTTGTGGGTTTTCTTCTGGCTTTGTTTTGTGTTTTTATTTTCTTAAAGATACATTTTAGGCTCCACCAATGGAAGCTTGTTTCCGCCACAGAACTAAACATTTTAAAAGATAATTGCGCCTTTTTATCTCACAATTGCGAGTTTACATCTCGCAATTCTGACTTTATTTCCAGATGTAAACTCGCAATTGTGAGGAAAAAAGTCAGAATTGTGAGATAAAAAGTCGCAATTACCTTTTTTATTCTGTGGCAGAAGCTTCCACCAGATATGATAAAGCTTTAAGATAACTAAGTCAAAAACTTAGCGATAATCAGCAGTTATTGTTTAGTTGTTTGGTTTTTTCTGTTCTGTTTTTGGGTTTCTTTTGTGTCTGTTTTTTTTCTTGCTTTTTGTGTTTTTTGTTGTTGATTTTTATTTTGTTTGTATTTTTGTGTCTTCTAAATATGTTTTGATTTGTGTGTTTTTTCTGTTTTCTTCTTGCTTTGTTTTGTGTGGGGTTTTTTTTTGTTTGTTTTTTTTAAAGAGCGATATTAGGCTCCACCAGATATGAGATAAGTACTGTGGCGTGATTTTCACTGTTTCTCCAAACACGGCTAAGAACAATAACACAGTAGACAAGTCAAGCCGCACCTGCATTGAATGTGAACGCCTTACATCCTGACTCACAATCTGCAAAGTTCTCCATCACTCAGATCCCTCCATGAACAGCATGTATAGCACGGTGGTCTTGCCTCATTTTGCAGGGTCTGTGCACTAATGGGAAGCAATAATGCTATGACTTCATATTGCCCCTGGCAGAAGAATGATGTCACCCCTGTAAGAGCTGCCCTCCCCCTCCCAAAAAAAGACCACTCAAATCTTCCTCTGCTACTGGCAAAAGATGAAATCACCTATGACATCATCCTCTAGACACAGTGTCTCGTGATTGCTATAGTCTCTGGGTGCAGAAAACGATGTTGCTCATTGTGGTTACTGCATCTTAATGTATATTGGAGTATAAAGAGCTTCACTTTGAAATATTCGTTGATGTATTTTTTTGCATAACTTTGCTACTAGTTTTTTTGGCATGCATGCATACTGGCACTTTTTTAAGGTCAAAGTTGTCACTGCAGCTTAATTCTAGCATTAAAGCGAGGCATTGTGGTGTGAATCTCATTTCACAGCTCTGTGAAATACAGCTCTAATAGCCTTTGCTCAGCAGGTTACTCCACATGGAGCTGTAGCATGCAGAGTTTTTGAGTTGTTTTTTCAGTTTCATTCAGAACAATGTTCAGATGACAGAAATCATTTTGCCTTGTGAGCAGAGAAATAGCGTCTTTAGTATAGCAGCCTGTAGAATCATGTAGATGGCTATTACGTCAACGGATGTCTCTGTGAATTAACATTTTATTTAAAAAAAAAAAGATTTTTGATTTGAAGAAGTTGATTGTTGAAAAATGCCAGGAACAGATGTGTCACAGTAGTTTAATTGTGCAAATTACAACTCTGCTTCATATCGATATCAAAGAGATTTCAAACAGACTTTGATACTAGGTTGTTTCTATAGTGACTTCATCCTAAAATAGCGCTGGAATCAATTATTCTCCAGTTATACTCGAATGGATTTAATCATCCTGAGCAATACTGTCATATAAACAAGGGTCTCAGAAGTCATTAATATGCGCTCATAAGATAGATGTATTAGATAGCTGGTTACTATATAGGTCCCTGAAGTGAAATTTTGTAGTGTGCTGTTATGCTGGTCTGCAATCTAATACAGCATCATGCAACCAAAGTATAGACTTAGAGAAGGACCACAAGGGCTGAGAGGGGCATTTGAGCTGTTTTTGTGCTGTAGACTCTTTTATTTCCCTGATGAAAATTCAATATTTCATTATACATTATGATCCCTGTAAAGATCATTTGGGATTTTATGTCCTCTTTAATTAATTCATTTAATTATGTATCCTCTTTGTTGTAGCATGGATTTATGGGGACCCAAGGAAAGTCATTTACCCAACGGACAGCACGGGTCAGTTCTGTGGACAGAAGGGCACACCAAATGCGTAAGTGCCAGATACACCACCAGCCAATCATAAGCTTGGGTGGGAGGGGCCAAAATACACCCCCTCCAATTAAAACATGTTTCACCAGCCAAGTAATTAGAATATTCTGATTATTACACATAACTGTACCTTCCATTTCCATTCGTGTATTTATTTATCATACCCAAAAGCACAACATATTAATCCTTAAGCCTTCTAAAATTTACATCGCATGCTTTTGTGCCGAATTCCCTTTTGTGGTGTTTTGTGTTGATTGGCAGCACATAACCTTGGGGGGGAAAATAAAGAAATGCTCATTAGAGGAGCTGGGACTCGCTGATAAGAGTGTTTTTTATGTACAGCCGTAGTGTGAGAGATGTTTACTCGGTGGAGTATTGGAAGTATTTGGATCTGTGCAGTTCATAATTAGGAGATGTGATGCCCTCAGTGGCTTATGGGATTATGGGTATAGTGGGAATCTGACACAAGCCCTTAATACTTTTCCTTGCCCAGACAAAATGATTGGATACTGAGTTTGTATCTGTATATCATAAAAATTTATCTCAGCATTTCAGTTATTCAGCAGGCTGCAGGACACTGATTATTTAGTGTTGAATCAGGGTTATATGTTGTGATTTACAAAGCAACACTGAGAGGAGTTTTATTACCGTGTGAAGCACTGCAACTGAATGTTTGGAGTGGAAAGCTGCTTAAAACATTGATTTCACCCCCATAGACACAGCCGAATAGCTCCACTGACACCTACTGGAAAAATACTGCCATTTTCACACTATAATTCATTTTCCTTCATAGAAAGAAAGCCATATTATTCTACTTCAACATACTGAAATGTGCCAGTCCTGCTGTCCTGATAAACCTCCAGTGCCCTACTACTCAGGTAATACACTTGTTCATCACTAATACTGTCATTATATTGCTAACTTTGCCCCCGCTGAACTGATTTATTTCTTTTTTTGTCTAAATAACCTTAACTGTTTCTAGATGTGTGTTTCCAAGTGCCCAGATCGATTCGCAACGTACACAGATATGCAGCTCCATTATAGATTCAACAAGAGCCACTGGGATTATTATAAACAGTTCTGCAAGCCAGGCTTCAATAACCCTAAAAAGGTAAATCACACGGCCATGCTGAAGAGTTGCTATGAACTCAATAAATGCACAATGCCAATTAGATTTAACGAACTGAAAAAGAGCTCGATAAAATTCCGCTGATTTTAACTGTTTAATAGCTATCTATCCCTTCTGTGTGTTTTCAGAAGACGCTGTGACAAATTTAAAAGGCTATAAAACTTTCAGGAAATTTTATAGTTTATCAAATTGAGCTAATAGAGACCTTTGAGAAGAGATCTCCGCTGCAGTACATGTCCCAGACTGTACTTACATTTGAGAAGATACCAAAGTCTGCAAATTTGGATGTTTTATTATGAACTTGAAAATTGTTCATCAAATCACTCCAAAATTGATTTGTCTGATCTATATTATCCATGTTCATTTTATAGCTGTGAATTCTGTATGTCTCAACGGATGTCTAATTTGTGTAATAAGTATCTGAGAAATATTTTCTATTGATAGCATTTCTATTGTGCTGCTTAATATTTGTGTAGAAACTTTTTCAGGATTCTTTGATGAATAGAAGGTAAAAAGAACGGCATTTATTTTAAAACGTAAACCATTGTGACATTATAAAAGTCTTTACTGTCACTTTGGATCAATTTAGTGCATTCTTGCTGAATAAAAGTATGAATAAAAGTATGTATTTCTTTAATGTATCACTTAAACTTTTAAACAATAATGTATATATTTCCAATTATAAAACGGTTAGTTCCAATCCTTGATTCTGATTGGTCAATAGCTGTGTTTTATTCACGATAAAACACGACCACTTCACCCAACGGTTCTATATTCGAGGCTAGTGCTGTATCGTGAATAAGTCACGGCTGAAGGGGTTGCAGGCACTCGCGTCGGCCTCACACAGCCTCTCGTACCTTATTCCTTACATATATCCATTATATTACATCTCACCTGATTTACAAGTGCAACTTCTGAGCAATAAATGTTCCTCCGGGTGTCTTTATGAATGCATTTAGACTAGGACAACCCTTTGAAAGAGGTTTTATATTTTGAGAGCACTGCCTTAGCATCTGTTTAGTTCTGTTTTCCAGAAGGGAATGTGTTGTTTTCTGACAAGAATAAATCCACAGGCTCTTTCAGGGCTTTTAAGACATCATTCTTAAGAGCCATTTTGGCTGCTGGAAGATTGTTTTTCTGTATAAGTGAGTAGTGAACTTTACCTTAAAGAAGTTTATGCTCCAGCTGATGTCAGACTGATGGTTTTGCACTGGTTATGTGTTATCTTCTAATGTTACCCATAATGTATGTAAATGGGTCCTCAGAATAGCGAGGAGTCATTTATCAAATTACTGACTTGCTAACATTGATAGAGTTGTATGCTGTCATGCAGTGGAGTTGTTTAAGGAAAGCTCTTTTTTTATTGCAGTCTGTGACACAAGTGCTGCGAGATGAGGACTGTCCATCAATGATAGTGCCAAGCCGACCATGTAAGCGCAGTGTGTATGTGTGTGTGTGTGTGTGTGTCCTGGTAAACCCTACGTTATGGGGACAAAATGTTCCCACAAGGATGACAATATCCAAAATCCTTGTCCTTGTTGGGACATTTTTTGGTCCCCATGAGGAAAACAGCTTATAAATCGCACTAAGTGATCTTTTTTGAAAATGTAAAAATGCCGAAAGTTTTCTGTAATGGGTAGGGTTATGGGTAGATTTAGAGTTAGGGGATAGAATATACAGTTTGTTTCGTTTAAATATCTTTGTCTATGGATGTCCCCATAAAACATGAAAACACCACGTGTGTATGTGCTCTGTAGAAAGTCTATGGTATGCCCACATTTTGATAACAAAGTAAATGTTTTGGGTCAAGCTCCCTTTTGAGGGAAACTCAATGCTGTGGCATGGCGCTCACGCTATAAGCTCCCTCGTGAGCTGATGTCTGAAGCATGTGTGAAGCATGTGTCTAAACATGCCAATCTGATTGGCTGAATGTATGGACATCGTGACGTGTAGCGTAGCGCGTCTTCAAGTACATTAATAGATGCCAGAAATGCGTTTCGACAGTTTCTTTGTCTTCAGAAGCCGAATGTTTGCTATGTGCATTTCTCTGAAATCCTGTGTGTGTGTGTGTGTGTGTGTGTGTGTGTGTGTGTGTGTGTGTGTGTGTGTGTGTGTGTGTGTGTGTGTCTCAAGTCAGGAGTTAAGCTGTATAATATCAGTGTTGAGATAGAGGTCTTTATCATCATGTGGGAGAGGAACATGCTTGGTCAGTCCTTGGGGAAAAAAATGGGGCTGACTGTCAGCATTGCAAGCGTTTCACCATTCGCAAGCTCTGATCCCGCTAGGGCTTTTTCTCAAGGGATGAGGACCAAGCCCCTGCAAGGGCTCGCCAGGACTGAGTTTGCCTCCTTCTTGTTGTTCCCGTCTGGTCGGCCCGAGTTTGGTTTGTGGACCTAGTGTCTCTTCTGGACGGCCTCCCCTGCGAGATCCCAATCTGGAGAAATCCTCTCTCTCAGGTGACGATATTTTATCCTCGGCCGGAGATCTGGAAGCTTTAGATCTGGCCCCTGAGGGGTACAAGCTCATAGATTCTGGTCTTTTGGCTGAGGTCACTGAGACAAGTTGTATGCCCTGAAATAGCAACTTTTTGTAACAAGGTGTGGACAACATGAGGTGAACCCAGTTAACTGACGGTTGGTCCAGTGCTGGAGTTCCTTCAAGAACGTATCTACATCCACCTTAAAGGTCTTTGTGGTTTGATATTTCCGCTAGCCACATGCCTTTGGATGAAGCCTTGGTTTGGAGGCATCCCCTGGTGTCACGATTCTTGCATCTGCTGGTTGCAAGATCCCTCTTGGCAAGATAAATAGCATTGGTTCTAGGAACCTTAACGGAAGCCCTTTTTGAGCCCTTGAAGTCGGGCTCAGAGAAAACTCTGACTCAAAGTGGCTCTGCTGTTAGCATTAACGTGATTTAATAGAATAGGAGACCTTTCATTAGCCTCCTCCTGCTTAGATTTTGCACCAGGTCATGTCATTCCAAAAGTACCTGCAGGTCACTCTGCAGGCTTTCTTTCCTCTGCCTCATGAGATGCTGGAGCAAGAGAGCCTCCACCTGCCCTGTCTGTGCTGTGAGGATCTATGTCCACCATCTATGGCCAGTGGCATTTACCATTGATCCTCTCAGCTTCTAGTATGCTTTGGTGGCCGGTAATGTGATCACCAAGCAGCGTATGTTGCATTGGATTACAGGTGCTGTCACCCTCTCCTATGAGGTATGCAGAATGTCTTCACCTCTAGGGATCTCGACTCTCTCCCCTAGGAGTGTAGTGTCTTCCTAAGCTTTTTTCGAGGGGTTTACCTTTACAGGGTATCCTCTTGTCCCCAGCAGCAGGCTGGTCCTCTTCGCACACAGTCATCAGGTTCATTAGTTTGGATACAGATTCAACCCCAGGGGCCAGTTGGATAAATATAGCCATTATGTTAAGTCAATGACTACGTTTACATGTGCTCCAATAATGCGATTAATAATCAGAGTAAGATCTTAATCACAGTAAGATGTTTACATGACACAAGCAGAACTCTTCACTCCAGTTTACATGCAATTTTTATTATTCTGATTATTTCCTAATAAGTGTGGTAATACCACGCTCAGATAGGCATACAGTATGCATGTTACCGGACGTAAAATTTTTATGGACGTACTGGATATTATTCGGCGCCGTGATGAACATCGCAATGCCGGGTTGGCCTACGCTGCCATTGCGTTCTTCGCGCTGTCTGGATGAAGATACGGAGCAGAGACTGTGCAGCAAGTTGTGTTGACAGAGTTTAGTGATTTGGAGAAGAGAAAACTTCAGAATAATGTCACAGAGTTCATTCATGAAGTTGTGTGAACAACACAGGGTATTGGGTAGAACCAAGCACATGCGCACTTTGGTCAGAGACGTAATAATGAGATTAAGGTTTTGACACGGCTGTTTATTGTAATTAAAATCGACGTACACCACATAGTTTAATGCGAATATGGTTACTACAATTATGAGCTTAATCGCATTAGTTTAATCGAAGTATTGCGTTTACATGAGGTAAAGTTTAATCGCAATATTGCCAAAATCTCATTATAATCGCATTATGAGGGTGCATGTAAACACACTCAGGGCCAGATGTACTAACGCTTAAGCGCCCACTTCAGGCGTATTTGTTTCACAAAGTGTGCATAAAACCATGGTGAGGTATGTACAAACGGGACGCACCGAGATGAAAGCGCAGACTTTCTGTCGCGGGAACTGAAAATGCGCAAAATGCGCTTTTTTCGTGTCATGCATATGCATTCATGGGATGGTCAAGGGGAAAGTGGGAGTGTCACATAAAGAGATGGGAGGGGAAGCGTAAACTGCAGGTGTAAAAAGCAGGTGTAAAAAGCAGGTGTAACTTAGGAAGCGGGTTTCTTAAAAGCCGGCTTTCTTAAAAGGTGTAACATAGGAAGCGGGTTTCCTGGCATACGCCTCCTGGTGAAATGGCAGCAGTAATCCGAGCAAGACGAAGACATAAGGAGACGAGCTGAAAAGATTTTTGCCACAAGAATCACACTTTTTCAGTTGAGTCAAAACGAAATCATTACGCGTTACAGATTAAGCAGCTGCGCAATATAACAGTTAGACGAAATCAAAGATGACATTAGCCGCGTTTCCACTGTCGGGCCAGTGCTAGGCCAGGGCTTTAAACGGGCCGTGCCGGGCTAATAGCCTCGGGCCAGTAGCACCTGGCCTGCGTTTCCACTGTCGGGCCAGAAGCTCCACAGCGCGTCACTAAAACACGCCCGTAACACGCCTCTCTGGAACAACGTCACACTAACCCATCATTTCACCAACAAATGGAAGTTTTATCAGAAAACTAATCAGAAAGAAATCACTGGAAACAGCGTGCATCGCAAAACAAACATGATAAAAGCGGCCGTTTGCTGGCATTTTTGTTGTTTACTTGAATATTTAAAACCCAAGCATCGATGTTTTACCACAGGTTTACAATAAAAAGTGATACATTGATCATAATGAATTAATTTATGTCAAAATTGCACATTAGTCACACAGAAATAAATGACCGTTAACGTTAGGTCTATTTCACAAAAGAAAGAGGACACACTTACATTATTCAGTGGAGGCTGTTTCTGTTTATTTGGTAGTTACAGGACATATATCACATTTAGAAACAATGATAATTTCTACAAATAATGTTATATGCCACCAAAAATACGACCTGAGGAGCGTTAGCACAGTCTCGACTCCCAGTAGCTACAGATATATTTTCAGTCAGAGAAACAGGAAGCTCCCGAAAAAAAGTAGATAGTCCGGTATAAAGAGACTATGTAGTATATGTAGGCTACTGACAGATAAAATAAAAACATGATTGTGATAGCCTTTATGATTGGTCTGACTTCTTCAAGCGTTCACCATGTTTTTTTACTATGCGTATCTTCAAGCGTTTACTATGTTTACTATGGTAATGGTTAGCGCACATAGTCTTTTGCATCGCGTATAAATATTTCTACCTTATACGGTGATCAGAATCCACATCGGATCACAAACAGAAGGCATTAAAACATGAAAGTGAGTTAAATTATTTTAAAAGTCTTTAATGCTGACAGAATCATTCGGCGCTCCTGTCTCTCGACTCAGGTAATCCCCGCCTCTGTTCGTAACCACTCCTCTAGCCCGAGCTGGCCCGCTTTGGCCCAAGGTATTCGACGGGCCAGAAATCCTGGCCGTTGGCCCCGAGTAAGCCCCGATCAAGCCCCGGAAGTGACAGTGGAAACGCGACTGGCCCTGGCACGCACTAGCACGGCCCGGCCCTGGCCCGGCAGTGGAAACGCGGCTATTGAATCTCCGACTCAGCATTCACATTCCATTCCAACCGTTGTTAAACTCCTCGCTACATTACAATTATTGGCATCAGGATCATTTCAAACAGTCATAGCATCAGCAGTGAGAGGAGGAGGCCCATTCAATTGCGCGTTTAAATACGTGCAATTTACGGTATAGTGGGTGGGGACAGGCTCTGATTACCTGATGAACTGCAGGTTTGGTACATAACACGCACACTGCGGTTTCACATCAAGCGCTTTCTGCGTCTTGGCCATGGTGCTATTAACGCTGCGTTTGCAAATGTACGTACATCTGGCCCTCAATGTCTAAAGATCTAGTATGACCCAATAGCAGTTAGTCAGGGGAAGTCAGTCTTACTTTTCAGTATCCAATTGACCCTTCGCTAAGCCCCGCCCTCCTTAGTTACTGTTGCTACGCCTGTCAAGCTTTCGCGGCTGCCACGTCTATTACAGTGTGAATGCACCGGTGTCAGACATTCCCAAGGAGATATTTAGTCATTTTTGGCGAACAAGTGAAATATCTGAGAGAGCCAGACAACAGGGACAGCAGTATGCATTCGAGGGATATATCCACGACATAATATGCAACCGATTAGAGAATAATTTCATCAAAATTGAAGCTAAAGCCTATAACGTTAGGTCCCAGCGCAAGCAGCAGCCGCCTCCTTAGCAGACCATTCAAATGGGAAACACACAAATTGAACAGTTATGTTCATGCACAGCAGAGTAAGTGAAATGTGAAGATAATCTAATAATTACAAATCAAAGAGTTTATCCATCAATCTAACACCGGGAGAGCCGCGATCGGATTGGGGTAAAGTTACAGGGGTAACGTAAGTAGGCCGTCGATTAACAAAATGCTGAAATATATTTTAAAGTATGTCAGTGAGCCTCCGTCTTGCCTTTAATCGTCTTATTTTACGTTCAAATATATGCATTATGAACAAAGAACCGCCATTATTTCCAAGCAATAGGTGTTTTTTTTTTCGTTTTTTTTTGTTAATCCTGTCGACATTTAGTTGTGAATGGGTCTCCCACACTGCTTGATCCACGCCCGGGATTTCTCCCCTTTGGCTTTTAGGTTTCGGGAAGAGAAAAAATGCCACCCCACCGTCCAAACTTTTAGAATACCGGGTATCAGATTTGCACAATCCATACGCACAACGCGTCGGCATGTTTCCCTCGCTCGAAAGCTTGACAGACCTCCCGCGCCTAGTTACGGTTGCTAAGCCACGATTGGCCAGTGGCGGTTTTCGGGCGTGGCTTAGCGAAGGGTCAATTAGGCCAATCTACATTTTTATGTAACTGACTTAAAAAAGTTATGAACAGTCTTAAAGAAAAAAAATGATGACTAACTTGTAAGACTTGGCCCAGCGGTTTATACAACCGTCCTGTATCCTTCAGGGTTGATCCAAGTCCAGTCTGTGCTCAACAAGCATCTGTGCCTATACAAAGCCTTATGGCTCTGTTGCCTTGGGCGTGATGGCGTTGAAATTGATGTTCCCATAGCGTCAACGCAAAACGCAGTGTTGAGTTCCACCCAAAAGAGAACATCTCAGGTTACGTATGTAACCCAGTTCCCTGAGAAGGGAACAAGATGTTGCCAAACCCCGGCTATGCCTGTGCGTCTTCTTCAGACAAATTGAACCTGTCGACATGCATTTCTGGCATCTCTTTATGGACAATATCTACGTCACAACGTCCATACGTTCAGCCAATCAGATTGGTGCATTTAGCGGAAGCGTTCCACCCATAGCGTCAACACCATGACACAGCGTTGAGTTCCCCTCTCAGGGAAGCAGGCTACATACGTAACCTGAGACATTTTGCCTACATTTTTGTAATCATGAGGGGAAAAGGTAAACTGCTTAATAAGCACACAGACTCTTGTTTTTATTGCTTTCTTGTCAGTATTTTTCAATACAGTGCTGGTCAGAATTATTGGCACCCCTGGTAAATATGATCAAAGATGGCTGTAAAAAAAATCTGCATTGTTAATCCTTTTGATCTTTTTATTCAAAAATTCTAAAAACTCTAACCTTTCATTGAAGTAAAAGAATTGAAAGTGGTGGTTAAATCACATTATGAAATAAATGCTTTTCTTCAAAACACATTGGCCATAATTATTGGCACCTTTTTATTTAATACTTTTTGCAATCTCCTTTTGCCAAGATAACATCTCTAAGTTTTCTCCTATAATGCCTGATGAGTTTGGAGAACACCTGACAAAAGATCAGAGACCATTCCTCCATACAGAATCTCTCCAGATCCTTCAGATTCACAGATCCATATTGGTGCTTCTTCTCGTCAGTTCAACCCACTCATTTTATATAGGGTTCAGGTCAGGGAACTCAGTGTGCTCAATGTGCTCAGTGACACATTTTAGTGTTGATTTTGATGTTTGTTTTAGATCGTTGTCCTGATGGAAGATCCAACCAAAGCCCATTAGATTTCTAGCAGAGGCCGTCAGGTTTTAGTAGAGTCTTTGGCCTTGCCATGCGTTAGGACGATATAGACATGTCCTCTTCCAGGCAAATTTGTAACATCTTTAGTTGACTGGGACTTCTTAATTATTGCCTTGATGGTGGAAATGGGAATTTTTTAATGCTTTAGTTATTTTTTTTACAGCCACTTTCTATTTTGTGAAGCTCAACAATCTTTTGCTGCACAACAGAACTATATTCTTTGGTTTTACTCATTGTAATGGAGGATTAAGGGAATTTGGAATATTTATACTGTGAAGCAGGAAGTCATAGCTACACAATTTCATGTTCCTAGTGTGCTAAAAAAAATATATATATATATTAATGGGAAAATAATTCAGAGATATTTTACTCTTAAAACACTCTTGGGGTGCCAATTGTGACCAATGTGTTTTGGAGAAAAACATTTATTTCATAATGTATGTACATCCCACTTTCAATTCTTTTACCTAAATGAAAGGTTCGATTTTTGCGAATTTTTTTAATGAATGATCAAAAGGATAAACAATGTAGACTTATTTTTACCGCCATCTTTGATCATATTTACCAGGGGTGCCAATAATTCTGACCACAACTGTAAGAGTGGCAGGTTACATTTTAGCTAATATGGGCTAATTTGCATCGGAAATGAGTAGCTGTTTACTTAGGTTGTTTTGATTTTGAGTATCATTACCACTCCTTTAGCAGTTGATCATTCTTTTTTTCTTCACTTGCGTGAAAGTTTTACAGCGCTGCTTACCAGACTTCATCACCAGAAATGGCACCCTAACAGTAGCTAACAAAACCGCTTTCAAAGATGCACTGGACACAGCCAGAAGTGTGTCTGAACTTAGAGATGCAGCCAAGTATGTATATAATCTTCACTAAATGAGACTAAATGCTCTAGAAGTAGTTGATTCAGTTTATGTGGTAAAAGCTTCTTTTTGACAAGCTCTGAGCCCTTTATTATCTGATGTATTTTGTATGACTTGTGTTTACAAATACATATTTCCCCTGCAGTGGCATTGCAAGTATCCATGAGGCCAAAGAGGTGGGAATGAAGATTGTGCAGGATTATGCCAGATGTTGGTACTGGATAGTGATGTAAGCAGCCTTCCATCTCAGCTCATACTTTATACATTTACTGTGTTCAGGTGAATACAATTTAGTGAGATTTTTAAGTAAGCAATTATGAATGATCAACATAAGTGAACAAAATGCTCTTTTGATTCCTACAATGAAAACAATATGGGTATTGTAAGAATTGAAAAATTAGAAAATGGTTAAGGATCGACCACTCCCCGAGAAGACAAAGGACCTTTCTCAAAATTAACATTTGACTATGTCTTGTGAAATTAAAAAAACAATGAAGGAGTAATTGTTATTTGTAATAATCTTTTAAATGTGTGTGTTGCAGTATAGAAATGCTATATCTCTGTGTTCATGAGTTTCTCAATGTGACAGAGGGCTGGTCATAGCGCTGGTCATCAGTCTGATCTTCATCTTGCTGCTGCGATTCACCGCAGGCTTCCTCCTCTGGTTCATCATCATCGCTGTTATCCTGCTTGTGGCCTACGGTCAGTATTTACAGTATATATGTCAAATATTTTGTTTATGATGTCAAAAAAATTGTGTTTGATTTTTGAAAGAAATTAATTTTATTATATAATAAAAGGCCTATTATATTATTAAATTGATCAAAGGTGCCACTCAAGACATTTATAAAAATCTATTTCAAATAAATGCTGTTCTTTTGAAATTTCTATTCATCAAAGAATCTTTATTACGGGTCTATGAAGGAGGACTCAAATGCAGAACGAGTGTTAACAGGTTTATTGACAAACAGATGACGAGATGTGGTGGGAGAGGTGAACAGTCCAGACAATAGGCAGAGATGAGACACAATGACAGCCGTTGTAACTAGCCGAGCAGCAGTAGTAACTAGCAAGATGACTGTAGGAGAGTAGTAATGGCAGAGCAGAATGAGACCTGAGAATGCTAGCAATAGATAGGAACTTCAAGTACAACAGCAAGGCACTCAAGGATCTCAGGCTCAGCACCAGGCTTGCTCCAAAGCAAAGAGTGTAAGCAGCCAGGGACGCTCTGCTAGCTGGACAGGAACTAGAGACAAGACCGATGGCAGAACTAAAACACTAAAAAACTTCTACAAATAAAACACTATAGACTTTAGTAACAAGAAACAAGCTATGTAGCACAGAAGTACACAGTAGCACAACATCTAAATAGCAACGAACTGGCAAACCATGAGGGCAAGAGAACACGTATAAAGGGAGCTGAGAACAAGAGGAACAGGTGAGCGCATTCAGACACGAAACAGGTGAACACACTCAGGCAAACGAGGACTCAACAAGGGGGCAGAGAACATGAGTAACAGGTGACAACAATCAGACAAACGAGGACTCAAGAGGCCGGGCGTGGTACAGGGAAACAAGGAGGCAGGAACAGAGGAGCACAGGGCCAACACAAACAAAGAGAAAGCCACATGTTCAAGCACAACACAAACATAGAGACATTAAACAACACAGACAAAGCTGCCAGGGCAGAACCCTGACAATCGTATATATATATATATCATGTTTTCCACTTTTTTTTTTTACAAAAATATTAAGCAGGAATTGATTTCAACATTGATAATAATAAGAGATGTTTCTTGAGCACCAACTCCGCGTATTAGAATGATTTCTGAAGGATCATGTGACACTAAACACACTAATGAAAGTAATTTCATTGGGGGAAAATGTGTCAACAAACATCCAAAAAAGGATGCAAAAACAGCCAGCACAACATGGCTTATAGTTTACCAAGTCAGGGCTCCAGACTGCAACCAAATAGTCACATTTCATGACCTTTTTTTATAAAATTTTGTTAGAGGTTGCACTAGTTCGACCACCAATGTGGTCGCACTAGTGCAATATCAATATCAACTGATATGAGCTACCATTTCTGTTGCATATGAGAAACTTAAACCTGTAAACGAAACAAAAGCGTAATGAAAGCACGCTACTCATTTAAGCAGAGCAGAACGGACTGGTTTTCAGCTTTGACCAACAATAGACAGCTCAGCGGGAGCTCAGAGCAGGTACAATCTAAATGTTATTCTCAATGTGAAGACCAAAAAAAAACATTATTTGTTCATCCGTCAAAGATTGTGCCTATTTGTAAAACTAAAAGTTTCAAGATGTAGGAAAACTAACACTTTTATTTAAAAATAAAAAGACATAAAATTACCTCTGTAACCATGAAAATCTTATGAAAACTTTTTTTTTCTTCTAATTGCTACTGAATTACACAGGAAGCAAGTAAAGAGCGCTCCTTTTATAATCTCTGAAGCTGTTGGTCAGTTCAGAATGATAGAAGTGCTACCAAATCAGGCGCTGGTGCCACCGTCTGTAGAACTGTTAGTCTAGAGCCCTGCAAGTCATAATGACAACATATGCTGTTTAATGACTCTGCCTATTTAACATCACAATCACTTGCGCCAACTGTTAACTCTGGCAGCGTTTGTGTAACTTAACCGCAGCTCTGAACATAAATTAGCATGATTTCTGGGTTATACAGTGAGTATTTTCCTTTATAACAGCCATAAATTATGAAATGGTTATCAGATGTTGACTCTCAAGAATAATTAGAAACAAGGTTGTCGAGAAATCAAATTTGCATGTAATTACATTTAATTCATCACAATTAATTTTTAAATTAAATTAAATCACAGATAATTATAATCTCAAGCCCAAAATTGTGTAGAACATAAACAGATTTTATCATCTGGATCTACTGAATATCTGTTCTGCGTAATGTGAAACATGGGCTCTTGCGGTGTGAAACACATCCTTCTCTTGTTTGCAGGTATCTGGCACTGTTACTGGGAGTTCACTGTTCTCAGGAAGACCCCCGGAGCGGACGTCACTATCTCTGACATCGGCTTCCAGACTGACCTCCACGTCTACTTACAACTCAGTCAGACATGGCTCGTCTTCAGTAAGAGATTCGGTCTTCAGTAATTGACTGCACTTCGTGGCTTTGAATTTCTGCGTTACTCTTTGTTGTATGTGTACTTCTGTTCCTCTTAGTGGTGACTCTGGGTTTGACTGAAGTCTCCATAGTCTTAATACTCATATTCCTGAGAAAGCGGGTTCGCATTGCTATCGCTCTGCTCAGAGAGGGCAGCAGGTGAGTCTCTGTTTGTATCTCAGTCTGACTTCATGTGTGTGCAGTGAGAATAACAGCTGCTCTGATAATTTGTGTGTGTGTGTGTGTCTCTGCAGGGCCATCAGTTACATCATGTCCGCTCTGTTCTACCCCATCATCACCTTTGTGCTTCTGGCCGTCTGTATCGCCTACTGGGCCATGACTGCACTGTATCCTCTTTATTTACTGCTGCACAACACTCAAAATCTTTAAAGGGATAGTTCACTCAAAAAATGAAAATTCTGTCATCATTTACTCACCTTTAAGTTGTTCAAAACCTGTAAGAATTATTTTCTTCTGCTGAACACAAAAGAAAATAATTAGAAAAATATGGGAAACCAAACAGTTGATGGACCCCATTGACTTCCATAGTATGGAGAAAAAATATATAGGCTACTATTTTGGGGTGGGAATTAAAGATGCAGTTTGTATTTTTAGCGGCATCTAGTGGTGAGATTACGAATTGCAACCAACAGAAGTTACTGTGGCCAACAGGAAAATATGTCGTTGCAGAGAGTAGCAATGAGGTTTCTTTACAAAGATAAATAAAGAAATTATGTTTGCTTAATTATTCAGTAAAACGATATGTTATTGCGAATATTATTGTTACTTGTTCATAATTGTGTCAGTGTTTTATTCGCTGACTTTAGCCAGCTTCTTTGCACGAAGAACAACATAGGCTTCTGAAGAAACGCGATCTGTAGTAGTTTGTCCGTTTAAGGCTACTGTAGAAACATCAATGGTAAGGGGACCCGCGGTGTATGTAGATAGAAATGGCTCATTCTAAGGTAATAAAAACATAACGGTTAATTTCTGTGCATTTCTGTCAACAGATCTTTCTAAATATTACACAATGCACCTTTAAAAGAATGATAAACACCGTCTAGCTGCTCCAGTTGGTGGCACTATTGTAACAGCTAGTAATGTAACTTAACTTCAGCATAAAAAAGTGATCACAGTGGCATAAAAATGTAAGCAACAGACACACATTCTCTTTAGACCTTAATTAAACCTGAAGCTTTCTTGCATCTTCTGGCGATGCTGTTTACAAAGTAACTTCAGTCCATCCCAACTGCAAGTATGCCAACCGAACCTGCAATCCTGAGGTGAGATCTGTTCTTCACAGCTTCAACAAGTCAAGTACTCATACCTAGAGGATAACCACACTTTTACTTGTAAATATTCCCCACATTAAAAAGTTGTCATTTATTTATTGTTTCCATAACACAGAAATCTGTTTCTAAATGTGTTATTTATATGACAAATAATTTTAATATCTAAGAGAAAGAATAGTCCATTTTTAATGGAATAAAAACATAGATATTAATGCATAGATATTAACTTGACAAATGAAAGAAGTAGCTGATTGTTATGGTTAACAGTACATAAAAAAAACAATCATTTCAGAAAACAGCGAGCTTTTAGAATTACTGTATTGCAATGTCAGTATTTGTACATTTAAGGGTTGTTATAAAATATCATTTTTCTTCACATCATTGGTGATGATTTAGCATGGTTATGCTTTTTCATTATCAACAGAGCTTCAACAGGACCAACATCAGCATGCAGTGTCCAGGTGCTCAGTGTCTTTTTGCCTTTTACGGGGGTGAGAGCTTGTACCATCGCTACATCTTCATCCTCCAGCTCTGTAATCTGCTGGTCTTCCTCTGGCTGGTTAATTTCACCATTGCTCTGGGACAGTGCACCATCGCTGGGGCGTTCGCCTCGTATTACTGGGCCCGGAGGAAGCCCGCAGACATCCCTCCCTGCCCAGTGTTCTCCTCTTTTTCCAGGGCCATACGGTACAGTTCCAGTGTTTCCTATACTGAAGTCAAAGCATTGGTCAAAACATGACCTGGAAGAAGAAACATCGAGCTGTGCTGTGTTTTGCAGGTATCACACAGGCTCTCTTGCTTTCGGCTCTCTCATCTTAGCAGTGGTTCAACTCATCCGAGTCATTCTGGAGTATCTGGACCACAAACTTAAAGGTTGCTTTATGTCCTTATGCCTTTGCACTTTTTGAAGACAGACAGACAGGGATAGATAGATAGATAGATAGATAGATAGATAGATAGATAGATAGATAGATAGATAGATAGATAGATAGATAGATAGATAGATAGATAGATAGATACGTAAATAGATAGACAGACAGACAGATAGATAGATAGACAGATAGATAGATACGTAAATAGATAGACAGACAGACAGATAGATAGATAAATAGACAGACAGATAGACGGACAGACAGATAGATAGATAGATAGATAGATAGATAGATAGATAGATAGATAGATAGATAGATAGATAGATAGATAGATAGATAGATAGATCAGACAGATAGATAGATAGATAGATAGATACGTAATAGATAGACAGACAGACAGATAGATAGATAGACAGATAGATAGATACGTAAATAGATAGACAGACAGACAGATAGATAGATAAATAGACAGACAGACAGATAGATAGATAGATAGATAGATAGATAGATAGATAGATAGATAGATAGATAGATAGATAGATAGATCAGACAGATAGATAGATAGATAGACAGATAGATAGATACGTAAATAGATAGACAGACAGACAGATAGATAGATAAATAGACAGACAGATAGACGGACAGACAGATAGATAGATAGATAGATAGATAGATAGATAGATAGATAGATAGATAGATAGATAGATAGATAGATAGATAGATAGATAGATAGATAGATAGATCAGACAGATAGATAGATAGATAGATAGATACGTAATAGATAGACAGACAGACAGATAGATAGATAGACAGATAGATAGATACGTAAATAGATAGACAGACAGACAGATAGATAGATAAATAGACAGACAGACAGATAGATAGATAGATAGATAGATAGATAGATAGATAGATAGATAGATAGATAGATCAGACAGATAGATAGATAGATAGATAGATAGATAGATAGATAGATAGATAGATAGATAGATAGATAGATAGATAGATAGATAGATAGATAGATAGATAGATAGATAAATAGACAGACAGATAGATAGACAGACAGACAGGTAGATAGATAGATAGATAGATAGATAGATAGATAGATAGATAGATAGATAGATAGATAGATAGATAGATAGATAGATAGATAGATAGATAGATAGATAGATAGATAGATAGATAGATAGATAGATAGATAGGCAGGCAGTTTGTACACTATAAAATAATTATGTCTATGGAAAGTCCCCATAAAACATGGAAACCAACGTGTGTGTGTGTGTGTGTAGGAGCTCACAATGTGTTTGCACGGTTCCTGCTCTGCTGTCTGAAGTGCTGCTTCTGGTGTCTGGAGCGATTTATACGCTTTATGAACAGGAATGCTTACATAATGGTAAGAGCAGCCATACTGCCCAATCAAATACACAATAAACAAACAAGTTTGATATGCAAGGATGTAATATATACGTATGTTTCACACTAGATTGCTATTTATGGGAAGAACTTCTGCACATCAGCGCGAGAGGCGTTCTATTTATTGATGAGGAATGTAGTGAGGTGAGAATATCCTGGTTCTCTATCAGTTAGATCAGAACTGACGCGCTCTTACTGCAGTTCTTCTCCTCTGCCGCAGGGTGGCAGTGTTGGACAAAGTCACGGACTTCTTGCTCTTCCTGGGGAAACTGCTGATAGCAGGGAGTGTTGGTGAGTGTTGGCGTGTGGTTGTAGCTGTCTGATTCATGACGAAGTCAGAACAAAGTTTTGTGAGGTTTGTTTGTTATATAAGGTTATTTAACATAAGGTTAAAGAGCGAATCAATGTTTACACTTTCTACTGCAGTATTTCTTCCATTCCTTTTTCCCCATAAGAATTTAAAAAAAGAAAATGTTCTAAACCATCAGTCAAATGAATTACCAACATTATTAACTTGGACTTAAAAAAAAGTTGATTAAAATCAGAATAAAAGACAAAGATAATCGACTGTGCATCCCATGAAGCATTGCAAATGATGTAGGCCTAATTAAATTATATTATATCTTTAATTAATATTAAAATATATACAGTACATTACATTTCAAAAGTTTGGGGTCAGAAAGATTTTATTCATTTGAAGAAATGATTATTTTACTTAATTAATATTTAAATTAATACTTTTTATTCAGCAAGGACACATTAAATTGATCAAACGGGACAGTAGAGTAAAGACAATTTATAATGTTACAAAAGATTTCTATTTCAAATAATTGCTGTTCAATTTCTATTAATCAAAGAATCCTTTAAAAAAATGCATCATGATTTTCACATAAATATTAAGAATTTCAACATTAATAATCAGAATTGTTTCTAGAGCAGCAAATCCACATATCCGAATGATTTCTGAAAGATCACGTGACGCCGAAGACTGGAGTAATGATGCTGAAATGATTCAGCTTTGATCACATGAATAAATTACATTTTAAAATATATATTAAAATAGAAAACAATAATATTTGTAATATAATTTATTTATATTACTGTTTTTATTGTATTTTTGATTAAATAAATGCAGTCTTGGTCAGCAAGCATACTCTTATTGAACCCAAACTGTAGTGTACAGTACTGTTTGAGATCAAAGAAATATGCTTTATGAAAGTGCACGTTTGCCGCTGAGCTTTTATGCTAAAATTCCAGCTCCATGACTACATCTCAACATGTTTATGCATGGTGTAATGCTTCACAAGAAAATTCTGTATTGTTTTCCATTTTTTTTCCCCTGTCTACACTGACGTAGACTAGAAATGGCTATTGAATTAATTAATTATTTTTTTGTAGCAAAAACTCCTTTAACGTAAGCAGTAGCTAGTTCAGCAGAACTGCGTGTATGGTCATATTTCCAGTGACCACACGAGGGCGCGAGAGTGTAACAGTGAGCGACGGTCCACTGAGGTTTGTGGTTGAGCGCTCCATCAATTATATCCTGCAGGTGTTATTGCCTTCCTCCTCTTTACACGCAAGATACCCATCATCCAAGAGGAGGTGCCCGTGTTGAATTACTACTGCGTGCCTCTCTTGGTGAGAACTTCTCTTTAGTGTTATTTATTATTTCAAACTGGAACTAGTTTCTGGTTGAGATAGTGTTTTGACTGGCAGGTCTCTCTTTCTTTGACAGACGGTAATACTGGGTTCATACTTAATTGCGCACAGCTTCTTCAGCGTCTATGCAATGTGTGTGGACACTTTGTTCCTTTGTTTCTGTGAGTATTACTAGCATTATTATATTTTAAATAATATTCTGTTTTTAATTTTGAAAAATAAGTAAATACATTGAATGTTGTGATCAATTTTGGCATGGAATAATCTATTTATGTAGCTTGAAATGAATATTTTCCTGTATGTCCCTCTAAAACCTTCTCCCAGCTTGAAACCACTGGCGTTAGACTTTAACTCTTTTGTGCAAAAATATTTCTAAACTGCAGATTTTTTTACACATTTGACTTCCTGAGGCACTAAAACCTCTATTTCTCTCCGCTTTCTGTGTTATCGTACAACACTGTGCGGCGTTCACAGGCGAAGACTTGGAGAGAAATGACGGGACAACGGCCAAGCCTTTCCTCATGTCTCCCGGCCTGAAAAGAATTCTGGGAAGAGCCGAGCTGAGCCCCAAGAAGTCACGCGGATAAAACCCTCCGAATCTATGAGAATACCTTTACTCGACTTACATACTTAGCATGCATTAACTTACAGTATATTATAGCTGAAGTCGTGGACTACATTTTGTAATGGGAGCTGAGGAATTATGGGAAGTGTTGACGTGACCATCCACCTCAAGAAAAGACCAAAGACTCTCTCTGCACCGTAACAGCAACTAACCCAGGACATGGAGCTTTGGCTTTTCTGACACAGACCCTACACTGCATACTAACATGTTTGCCTCTTACTGCTGCCTTATTCTGGGAAAATGATTACTGACATTTAAAAGCTGCCTGAGATTGGACACCTTGAGAAAAGAAGCCCAACTTGTTGATGTTGATGTTCGCAATTTCAGAATACAGTTTTCTTCTCTCACGTACGATTAGAGCTGGTTTTACAGCTAAAACGACATTAAAATGGTTTTCACACAATCCCTGCAGGACTTCCCCCTTTAAAAAACAATGCACATATTGGTAAACAGCATCCCATTTGACATTTAATCATCAAAATATTTTGTCTCGGTGATAATGTAAATTTAAATGATATATTGAAGGAATATTTTTCGGGTTTAGCTTAATATAAGTTAAACTCGATCCATCGCATTTGTGGTGTAATGTTGATTACAACAAAAATGATTTCAACTCGTCGCTCATTTTCTTTAGGAAAGAAGGCGATGAAAATGAATTGGCCTATATTTGGAGTATTTGTAAAGCTTATAGTTTTATACAAGCACTTACATTCATTCTTCTGTTGTAACGCATTATAATTTTTCTCATTTTTTGTCATTTAAGGGTTTATGGCATTGTGTAATTGTATATAAACAAAGTTTTTTCACTCTGACATCATGTTAGAGATCCTATTGAAACAAGTATTTAATGTTTGCACACTGTAACCCAGATTTTGGCTTATTTCAAGAAGACAAGGGACATTCATTTTTGTTATTATATCAACACTGTCACAAATGCTGTCGTTTAACTGAACCTTTAGCATCGCAGTTGTAATGGAGGGCAAAGAGATATCACAGTAGCTCAACTTCAGATCAGATGGACAAAACACTCGTGTATAAAAACTAGGGCTGCATCTGAAATCGCATACAAAAACAGTTTGTGACTAAATAAATATGTCCAACCTCACAGTACTCATAAAAAAAATGGGCAAAAAGTACCCAGATGACCTGCTTCTTCCGGTGAGATTCTGAAGTGTGCATATGATGGACGCTTTACTATCCCATGAGGCCAACTGACTGCTAGGTCACATGACAATGACAGCATGGCGAATGTAGTAAGTCCTGGTTACAGTCATACTATATAGAACATTTTTTTTAGCACTTATGGAATAACTTACTCAAAACGAGTACCTACTCAAGAGAGTATACGATTTCAGACGCAGCCTATAGGCATCATAGTTGCAGCCATTATCTTTAGGCAACATTCTTTCTTTGAGCTCTAGGTGTTCAGTCTGGTTTTCTTTAAACCCTCATCACTGAATTTAGGGCAAAATGTACAGTAAATAAATGTAACAAGTCTACAGTCTTCCAGGTCAGTTCGATAATATTTTCGGTTCAATGAAAAACGCTCATCTGAATATGATGCACTGGCAGAGGAATTCATTAAAATTTAATGGTGATAATTATTGAATGTCTCTTACATTGTCATGTCAAAATGCAAACCGTGGTTTATTTCCATGTAAATAATGAACACATCACTACTTGTATGTGTGCTGTGCCACTGTATTTGGGACTTATGAATGCATGTGAGTTTTCCCTGCTCAAAATACTTCAACGGATGGTTAACGTGAGGTTTGGAAGACTTTAAAAAGCACTCAATATCTGAAATCAGCAAAGGGCTTTCATAGCATTTTCTTTTCTGTGTAGTTGAAGTGATTGGGAGTTATCTGGCTTGCAGAAGGACCGTAGACAAAGTGCGTTTCTAAATGCTTCCTTCAGGACCGGCGAGTGAGATTGAGAGAGAAATAAGCACTTCAACTCCTGTAACAATTGATTTCCTGAAGAAGCTGAAAGAACCAAACCATTGTTGTTTTTTGTTGGTCCCCTTTTAAGGATATTTTTGACAATAATTGGAAATTTAAAAGAACTGTCCTTCTCAAAGAAGTCATTTCGGTTTATTTGTACTGTGAGATACAAGATTAAAGTGCTATGGTTTTATAATCCTAGATTAAAACACTTTTGTAATGTTGTAGGAGTGGGTATTTATTGTATTTGTACTTTTGTACCACAAAAATGGAATTGTGATTTTTTTTATATTTAAATGAATAAAACGATTTAAAGAATACTTTCCCTGAATGACTTCCCTCAGGTCAATTTTGTTTTTTTTATCCCAAGTTGTCAAACAATACGGCACAGCTGTGATGAATCTCTCACTAATAAACATTATTTCTCAGTATTTAATTCCCTTTATTAAACTGTCATTGAAATGCATTAAAACTTCAACACCACCAATTTTTCACAAATGTTGTTTTGTGGATCTCTCATCAAAAACCATTAGCCGACTATACGCTTAACCCTAAAGTGATATTTTAACTGTAACGAATGCCTTCAAGTAACAGAACACCAGAGTTAACGGAAATCGCTGTTTGGGATAAGTTAAACACAAAGACATGCACGTATAAGCATCCTTATGTCTACTTCCAGCTCTAGACCTGGAGGAAAATGATGGATCAGCTGCTCGACCCTTTTACACAACCAGCTCGCTGAGAAAAATCCTCAGAGGAACTCGAGGCAAGACGGCTAACGGGGGAAAGAAACAGCCATCGTCCTGCTGCATACGATAATAGCAGCAGCTACAAATTATTCACTGATTTCTTACGTTTAATGCGAGGATTGATAGCTTTGCAAACTGCCTCTTTAGATCTATAACAAAATTGGTCAATTTTCCAGTGACCATTAAGACAGCAGACTCAAAATATCAAAATGATTGACATGTTAAAAAGCACAAGAACATGCGATAAAACACTTTGTCAGTCAAAGGAACCGAAGTTGTAGAGCATTATACGGACCAAGACGTAAAGCTATGGGCGTTTCTGAAACATTTGTTTGCATTTAATAAGATCAGCCTATATTTAAATGTTCCCTCCCTCCCTTCACAGTTCATAAGTATCGGTTTAATTAAATTGTAAACTAGCATTTAATGACTAGTCTAGATTGTTGCTCAAGAACAAGTGTGAGAAATGGCAGCAAAACTTTCCAACCACACATATAATCCCAAAACAACTCAGAAACTTCTAATTTAACAAAGCTCTTAAGCAGAAACACTAAACAAATAATTACACCAAGCGCTTTAATGTGATCAATGCTAGAGGCAAATCAGATTTTATTGGCTTTTCTTCACCTTCCCATTTTCTTTAGAACCATCAAAAACAAAACAATGTGCGTCGACTAAACCAGAAACTAAGAATTCCATGGTAGATTTATTTTAAAACAAAGTGCTCAGTCACATACAAGAAATAAATTAAATGCCATTTATTCCATCACTATATAGATATATATATATATAATATATTAAACAAAAACTTCAGGCTCTTTTCACAATTAGAGAGACTTTTCATTTCGATCATTGCAAGACAGATATCCTTCAGTAAGTGCCCATGAAAGATAAAGTAGCATGGGTCTTGTTCAAGACTCAGTCAATAGAAGAATCAGTATTTCCTCATGCGGTCCTCTGACCTGACCGTGGGGCGGTGGGCGTCTCAGGCGTGGCTGATGGGCAGCTGTGTCATCGAGTGGGGCAAGAGAGGCTGCAGCACCAGTGAAGTGGGAGAGTGGACTACAAGGACGAAAAATTCAATGTTCAGTCTCAAAACCTCAATGAAGAGCTGGTCAGCATATGCACAAAATTAAATCAAGCTAGCTGAGTCAAGCTGAATACAGTTAATATTCCACGAGAGGAATGTACCATCCATATAGGAGTGTAGCGCAGTCAGCATAGGGTTGTCCACGGGGGCAAAAGCGGTGTACTGAAGTTCATCTATTAGAGGAGGCGAGAGTTGAGCAGACTGCAGAGATGACACTGGAGCGGCTGAAGAGTGATTTGGGCTGACATGCTTCTTATGACGAGCTCGACAGTTCTGGAACCAAACCTGAGCGGAAGGCAGAGGAAGCTAAACATGTTTATTGACAACATTTGATTTTACATTGCTTAAACTCATCAAAATTAGTTTCTCATCAAATTTTTTATAAGTTATCCAAGATTCAACTTTAAGTCAGTTTAATGTAATAAAATAAATAAACAAATAAATAAAAACATGCATTATACCTGAATAACCCTCCGGCTTAGACCGGTTCTTTCTGCCAACTTTTGTAAAGTCTGGGCATCTGGATTGTTGTCCTGAGCAAATTGAGCTTGCATTACCTTGAATAAATAAAACATTATTAAACAAAAAAGTGCAAAACAAAGACTAATGTCAAGCAGCCATTACAAGAACAATAAACCACTCATTATTATTATTATTAATAATATATATAGGCTGTGAAACGATTGCATCCAAAATAAAAGTGTGTTTACATAAACTGTGTACAGTGTATAATTATTTGTATATGTGCATGTATACATTTAAGAATAATAAGTTATATTTAAAATATTTATATATAAATCTATATACAGTATATGCATGCAAATATTTCTTAAATGTATACATGCATGCATGTATTTATATACATGTATAGAATAAATTATACACAGTACACTCATTATGTAAACAAACTTTTATTTTGGATCCAATTAATGTTTCACAGCCCCATTATATTATAGTATATAATAGTAGTATATATAGAGAGAGAGAAAGAGAGATGGGCATAAATACATGGAAATGTATTTAAAATAAAAATACTGTGTGGAAAAATGTATTTAAATACGAATACAAAATACTGTGAGAATTTTTTTTATTTAAATACAAATTTTGTATTTTGAAAATACTCGTGAAATTGGCCATCCAGTTCAGGTATAGGTCACAGTGAATGAAGAAACGACATAGGCCTACTGACTTAATTCCTAACCTCATCTCTGCCCTCTTGGTCATTCTTTCTCACTTTCTCTTTCTCTTTTTCCTTCTCCCTTTCTGGCAATTACAAATAATTGTATGCAAAATAGCAGCCATTTATATACTTATTTCTGACCGGGTTACAATGTAGTCTATTACTTGTGGTGAACACTATTAAAACATTCATACAGTATGTAAAACTGTGGGAAGCTTTTCTTCTATTTAACAAAGAATATGGATGGGCAATATGACCAAAATCTTAATTTTACGTCACAGTTTAATTCTCAATATCAGTTGTCAAAATTAAAAAGTTTATCTAAAATTAGAATTCATTTAGATTCATTTGACACTATTTACCTATATTTACTGTTTTATATTTATTGTTTTACTATATTTACCTATACTATTCACTATATACTCATTTTTTTATGAATAAAACTAAAAGCTGAATATTTTTGTGGCGGATCATTCATCAGTGCTTCTTTTTCCACTCTAACGTTCCAATAATTCCTGCCCACTAAAAGCAGCACGGATACATTTTCTTACCCCACAAATAGGCCCATCTATGTAAACGATTTAGAAGTTCCATCGATTCACACTTTATATCTTTGCTATATGTAGTGTCATATCACCCAGCCCTAACATGCAGTAATGCTTTAAACACAGTTGACAAGCTAGTTGATAAAAATCAACAACCGATCAAGACTGATTGGCTAACGCCATTTTCCCACTTGTCTGTGCTCTTATTCTTTCATGTTAACTGAAGGCAAATATGAATGCTGCACTATTTTTAACTTTAATCAACAAGTAGAATTGATCATGACATCCTCACCTAATTCCAGAAAAGTAGCTGATCCAATGCGGAGTTGTACTGCAGCTCACATGCATGAATGTTGGGGTTGGGGGGAGGGGGCGTGTCTCAACTAGTTGATGCACGGAATCAGTACCCTGATAAACAGGTTGACTGGCAAAAAGTATTTTACGTATTTTGAAAATACAAAAATACTCAAAAGCATTTAAATACAAATTACATTTGATTTTTTCCAAAGGCTTTAAAATACAAAATAGTATTTTGTATTTTAAATACATGTATCTGAAATACTGCCCATCCCTGTATATATGTATATACATATATAGAAAATTTTCAGAAAAGAATTGGAGTATTAACCTGTAGCTGGTCAGCTGTGAAACTTGTGCGTGCCCTCTTGGCTGGTTTAGGCTGATTTACTTCCTGCTCTGAGGGAACGGCTCCCTCCACATTCACTCCTTTTCCTACGGCAAACCATATAAGAAACAGGGGAATTAAACTTAAGATGTGGTTCCATAAGAGCTGAATGAATGGAGATGGAATAAACAGTTTGTTTATGCTGAAAGCTTGAAAATGTCCATTTAGGCTATATAAATGTCAAGCGTCTAACCATTCTCCATGGCGCGTTTGAGGTTGTCCAACATGCAGTCGTAGTGCACACGACACAGAACCCTCTCATCCACCAAGGCAAACTCTTCTCCTGTGGACAGCTGTCTTTTGCAGGAGAAGCAAGCAAAACAAGCCAGGTGGTAGGTGTTCCCTTTTGCTCTGCGGACCCAGTCGTTTGAATGGATGTTCCTGCCACAGTGAGCGCAACGGGTTCCATATTTCCTGCCAGAACCAAAAAAAGTTTGATAAGAACTAACATCTTTAAAAGGTAAACAAGCTTGTGTGGCACTTCTTTTAGTGAGGCTAACAGCGGTTGTTTGGTAGAGATACGGCACTCCAGGAACCAAACCACAGGGATAGAATGAAAACATTGGTTGACTATTGTCCATGTAGATTATAGAATTTAGGGAGGGAAAAAGTAAGGAAAGCATGTAAGGTTTAGGTACAGGCTCCAAAGGGTATGTTTTTCGCAATATTGCAAAAGAACCTTTTTTTTTCTTAGTGTGAAGAATTTTTATATTCCAAAAGAACATGTTTCCACAATAAAGAACCTTTTGTGCAGTGGAAATGTTCTATGAATTTTAAAGGTTCTTCATTGAACCATGCAAATAAAGAACCTTTATTTTTGTAAGTGTAGAAAACTACAAAATGTTTAGTCGCTACATAAGAATATCCAAAATTCACCAGTTTGCTGTAAACAATTATTTTGTAACTTTATAAAACAAAAACGCACACACAGTGCACTGAACAGAAGATATTGTTGGTCGTCCAACGGCCGCCTGACAGCACTTTAAACATTTGAAGTAGCCCATTTATTTTACATAAATATTAGTATTAAAAAAATTTATATATACCTGAAGTAGTCCAATTTACAGAATATCTCCTTTTCTTTTATATAGCAGCTGATGTGTCTGCCCAGAGATGTTTGGCACACGCTGCACGACAGGCATCTCACGTGCCAGCACATGTCGTTCACCTGAGGAAAAGCAACAGTTTTCAATTACGCGTCTAATATTTTAACATGCATAGAGATAGGGTTTACCGTTACGGTCTTAAAATGTTAAACTTGTATTTAAATACTGGGCAAACCCCACCGTCCCAGAGCTGAACTATTTAGTAATATGTCACTTGTCTGAAAGAGTCGTTTGTTGTTATAAACGTGTAAAATATTTAATGCGTACCTTGAGTAGATATTTGTCGACGATCTCAGTGCCACAGCTGGTACAGACGGCTTTCTCGGTCATGGCATGAGGTGAAGAGCTGGGCGACAAAGAAAGCGACGACGAACACGACACCTCCTCAAACAGCTCCTGGGGTTTATCCTAAAAATCAAACAAAGATTGTTTTATTTACATATATAAATAAGCTATGCCTACATAAAGAACACAAGTAAACAGTTCTAATTCTAAAATGTTTATGGATGAAAGTTCAGCCTTAGGAAACAGCAGGTTAGTGGCGTTCCTAAACAATATTCTGAAGCCATTGACTAAAACTTAAAATATATAACAGTAGCCCCCATCTCCAGAAATGCGTAAAAAGAGTTATGACTGATAAATACCGGCGCTTTTGTCAGCGGTGTGTAGAGGACTGAACCTCCGCAGCGCGCGGGCATGACGAGAGTAATTCGGATACACACATATCGCGCGCTCGTCCGCGCCGCCGCCTTTTAACCTCCGCGCCGCGGCCGAGCGACCCATTAACGACCACTCGTTTCACTATGACAACCTTCACACGAGAGCGAGGGGCGATGCAGAAACACGGGCGCTGTTTAACGCAAAGCGTCATCCTCTTCATTTCAAGCGCTGAAACGCCACAGGTAAAATTAACTGTTTTTCCTGTCGTCCTCTGTATACTTCTGGTAATGTCCAAACTAACTGACTGTGTTTCCCCCCTATTTAAAAAAAATTTTTATACCTAAACTATTTCCAAACTCTCTTAAAACCCGACTTGTCGCCGTGAAAAAGAAGAAAACAAATCCCAATCAGTTAATTTATATTAATTGCGCGCAGGCGTTGCTTGAGGCACAGCTGAGGATGGTACAGTAATTCAGAAGGCAGTTTCAGCTCGCGCTGACAAACAGAAGAGTAAATAATAGTTTATTGCGTGATGCAAAATGAAACACAGTGCGTCTGCAGCGTTTGTTTTTGAAGTTTGAAATATTGTGATTATTTTTATTATTGAAAATCTTCAACAATATGTAGCCTAGCCTAAATATCAGGGAAGGCCATTTCGCTATCAGGATTTATTAATAGCTAAAATAATAAAGAAATTATAGTAGCAGACAATAAAGAGACAATACACAAAACGACATTTGCAAATGTAGGCTAATTAATGTGTCACTTACAGTGTTCTTGCTTGGACTTTCTTTCGCAGTGGTTTGTTCATTTTTCCAGTACATTGTATCCAGTAGCCTATGTAGTTATCCACTCTTAGATGTCCTGTACATCGAGCATTAATCCACATACGGCTGCTGCAGCTCAATGCACGCCGTGACCATGTTTTAACTCAAACTTTTGTTTTCCTCAGTGAGGGTGGAACTTTTGCTCGTGTTCTCACTCCTCTGGCCGCACCTCCCTGTCACATTTACACACGCCTATTATCAGTTGCGTGAAATAAAAAGATCTGTAAACAAACTGCAGGCAGCAGAATATTTGTAGAATCAAGTTTTGGGAATGGTTTTTAAGGCCATAGCTACATGCCCATGAAAGAGCTTAAATAATATAGCATGGTCTCTTTCATCTTAAAATGCCGCAGCAGTATAAACATCAGAATTAGGATTTTTGCTTCACAGAATATCACAATATCATTAGGCCTACCTGCCGGGGTCTCAGTGATAGCCAACACTGCATGTCGAATTCACTTTGCATTGCAATTCGGAGGTTTGCTCGTGTTATTGCGCGGGTTTGACATTTTGCCTTAGCAAATAGCCTACAGGTTTGGAAATATGCATGGGTAAATTCTGCAATTTGTGATGATAAAATTAAACATTTCAAGTTTCTAAAACTATTTAACCACGTTTCAGCTGAAGGATAGTAATTTTAAACAGTTGTTCTTAATAGCTCTGAAATACATTGTCAATATATCAATGTCGTTTGTTTATTAGTTTGCTTTTCAAACAAAACTATTAAACAGGCCTATGGGCCTATAGGGCTTATTATTATTATTATTATTTTGATATTATTGGCTGAATTAGTTGGTTATTTTTTTTTCACATGATTTAGGCTATTTGTTTTTTTAATCTCATGTTCATAATTTTAAATCGCCATTTCCAAACAATTCACTGCGCAAAGTTGCTTTACATTTAATAAGCTACGTGCGGTTTAAAAAATAGTTTTTACGTCAGGAGCGTAATTGTGATATTCAGATTGTTAAAAGAAAGAAATAAATGAACAAAACGTTCTCAAATGGTTAATGTAATATCATCCGAAGCATTTATCTGGGTTCCGCTGAACAGCCTATGTCGGCATATTTGTTTACAGGTTGCCTAAATGTTTTTATATAGCCTATATTTTATCAATCATGTTGTCGGCAAATGAATTTGCATTATATTATTTGCAGTTGGCTATATCAATTATCTAGCCATACATTTGACTTAATTTCAGTCAGCTCACATATATCCGCATTTGAACGGACACTGACGTCTTAATTACTAGAGCAATAATATCAGTTTCCATTGAGATTATTCTTGGCTCTGTGGATTGGTTTGTTTGGCGTGGAGGATGTGAGGCAGTCTGGGATATGTGAGAGGTGTCAGTCAAGTCAAAGCGCGTGACCTTTTTTCTCTGACTTTCTGTTCAGATTTGTAATATGTTTCCTCTCCGGGGAGACTTTCTTTTTTGTGCGTACACACTGTCAAATGAGCAAGCGTCTTTATGTGGTTTATTTTTGTCAAAAAAAAAAAAAAAAAAAACATTTACCAAAAAAAAAAAAAAATTGTTTCATGTTGACATGCCAGAGACCGCATATCTGATATCACAATGTCAACAAAAATGTTTTAACGTGTATTACATCACCGACTGAAATGGTGTAGTTGTCATTTATCCTCTTTTCAAATGCTTCAGAGTTCATCTCTTGATTTTTTAAAGAAGTGTTTTGTTATAATATAAAGAAAAAACATCTTAATTTAGTGTGTTACATAGTGTTTTGGAATGCTCTTCAAATTATAATTTAAACTCAACTCCTGCGATCTTTGTCTCCCTTCCTGTGTTATGTATTTCTATCTTCTATTTATCTGGTCATGTTATACCTTCTCGGATTTTAATTTCTTTTTTCTCTTCTTTTTTTCACGCACACGCACACATCACTCCAAAAGGTGTAATGTTGCCATAGAAGAACCATTTTTGGTTCCCCAAAGAACTGTTTAGTGAGCTGAACGATTTGTTTAATATTGTGTAAATAATTTTCTCTAAATCTAAAGAAACTTTTTCCACTATAACCTTTTGTGTAATGCAGGTTCTATGTTTATTAACAGTTCTTTATGGAACCAGATGCCAATAAGGAACACTGTTTTGTAAATAACAAATACCCCTCCCGTTCAAGCAAAACTGTCTTCATCTGGAGTGTGTTTGTCAGGTTTTCACATGTGATCTCCCACCCATATGACTCTGTCTCTGTGTTAAGATGAGTGGAAAGATTGTTTGGCGCTCCTTCTACCCACGTGGTTTAAGCAGTGGCCTGCTAACTAACATTGTTCCTGTTTCCTCTAGCAATCAGATCCACTGCCCCTTTTGACAAAAAAACTCTCTAATATATAGGCTATATATATATATATCCCAATATTAAACGGAAATGGAAATTTATTTAATTTTATTATTTGTTTTTTTTGTATTTTATTTTGCAGTCATCCTGACCATGTCCGTATCTATTTTCCCTCCACAACAGATCTTTCTTATTATTCTAAATCTTTGAACTTTGAACAAAAATAATAAACGGGAGAGCCTTGTAATTGCCACTGTAATGCAGAGAAAAATTTGGCCTTTAAAAGATGTAGACCCCTGAGAGAGAGAAAAGCAGCCAGCATCATTCATTACACAAGAGAGCCATTTGTTTATTCATTGACTTTCATCCATGAGGCTGAGATCTGATGCAGTGTGTGCTGTAACATGACACTGAGGGTCTGGGAGGTGAGGGGTCTCAGAGCTCCTTGACTTTGAGTAAATGAGCTCTGACAGGTTGATCGGGGAGCGCTGTGGTCATGTTTCCTGACCAGTTCTGCTGGCATTATAGCTGGCCAGCGCAGGAAGAGAAACCCCATTTGGCAGATGTGTGACAGCACAGTGAGTCTCCAGACACTGAGGGGAACACAGTCCTCCACGGAGGCCGTTAGTGATAGGGGAAATGTATTGAAGCAACGGTGCATCGTGATTTTAGCGGTAGTCCAAAAACATTTCAAGGATCATTCATCATGTTTGCTAATTCCAAAATGCCTGACTTAAACCATTTCCTACAATATGATTTAAATAATTTCTGCTTGGCCTTTGCCCTTTCTGGAAATCATTGATTATAACCACATTTAATTTGCATCTATAATGTTACCCTGCAAATAATACTGATGATAGGTCACAAAACTGCATTTATTTACAATTTTTTATTTATTTAATCTTTTGTCTTTTCATTGTACGTTATATTATCAGGGAAACAGTTTGAGTAAAAGGTTGAAATGAAAAATATTTAATATCCTGTGCTTCAGTGGAAGCAAGAACATCTGACCTCCACAAGCGAGTGCATATGATCAGTGTTGCAGATTTACTTTGATTAGTGACCTAGAAATAGTGTCAAATCTGAATTATGAATTATTTCATAGTTAAAAATGATTCAAACTCATAAAACATTGAACTTTTGTATATTTAACCATTTATGAGTTTTGAGCCACAACCAGCTTGTAGGCTATATCTGCAAATGCAGACATTAAGATTCAAACCCCCCACCATTGTGTCTGGTCGCTGATGTCCTGTTCTAGATAATCTCAGCATTGCAGTGTCCATCTGCGTCTTTGTGCCGGTTGCGTGTGGATGGAGCGCAGCTCTCGAAGGAAATGGAGCCGATGACAGTTTCTCATGCAGCTAGGGGGCTCTGAGCTTCTGCTATCATGCAGGCCACAGGAAACAGAGATTACAACATGACCACCACAAGGGAAGTTATACCCAAAACACATACACTTAAGTGTCTGTTCTTCGCGTCTCCACTGCAACTTTCGGCTCCAACCGAAAGCTTTGTTTCGTCGCCACAAAGGAGTGTCCCCACTATCAACGACTCAGAGTGCTGAATGAATCTGTAAATAACGTTAGGATGTTTTTAAAGTCAACATCTTGGGGTTTGTTGTGCTGACGCCTGTTTATAAAGCCCAGCACTGTTACTATTTGGAGCCGCTTGCGTGATTAATGCTGTGTTTGTACGGCTAGCTTCGAAAATGATTTTCCTTGCATGTAAAGCCTATCAAGAGAAATTCAAATGTGCTCAAATCCCAGTGGGTTTTAACGGCCATTCCTTGGCCATGCTCCAATGGGGATATCCTGGCAGGAGGATGCCATCTAGATGTATGTTTTAGAAGTTAAGTCATCCTTACCTGTCCCAGGTGAATCCCAAAACCCAGTGCTTGTACATAGCTGCTGTCTCTTGAGACAACCTACTGGATGTGAGAAAGGCATGAATGGATGTCCAGAGTTAAGGCACATTGGTTTGAAAAATGAATCCAATGAAACCCCCTCTGGAGATGCAACACTTCTCGGTTACACCTCTGCTTGATCTTGGATTCATTTGAATTGACATGCATTCCTGTATCATCATCATCATTAATAATTTAAAGCCATGAAAGCCTATTCAGCCCTCAAGCGCACATCACCATTGACTTCACAGCGATTCTAGTAACCTCTGACGTCAGGGGTTAACAAGTCCCCCCCCCCCCCCCCCAAATTACCCCATTACACACCACTCTCTATATTGTTAGGATGACAACGGCCTTAGCGTTCTAACAGCATTTGTCAGTGTCAAAATTAATGAGATGGACAATCAAATCAAAGAAGCCAAGCTTTAGTGTTTACAGAAGACAAGAATGAATTCCAGCACAATGTTTTAGTTTTAAAGGCCCACTGAAGTGCCTTGAAATGCGCAACATTATTCAATGTGTTGACGTAATTTCCACTGAAACAGGAAGACAGGACAGGAAATATCGAATAGCGTTTTGTTTATGTCACAGCTCTGCAGAGCCGTTGAGCTCGGTAAAGCAGCAGTTTACTCCTAATCTCTAACCGTTTCTCCTAATCTCCTCCATATCGCTTTAGAATATTAGCCTGGATGCCAGCCCGAACCCCGCCCACAACATTTTTTTGGTCAGGAAGTTCGGTCTGGACTCGATCCATTGAGGAGTATTTATGATCGGTTCAGAATTAGTCGGGCCAATCAAATTGCCAGGGCGGGCTTTATACAATGATGGACAGATGATCTGCAGTTACGTAATCATCAGGTTATCAAAGAGCGCTTGGGTTGAACTGGTTTCTCTCAAAGGTGACTGCAGCTGGAGAATTGAGATGTATAGA